GGATTGGGTGCAGAGCTGACACCCTCAGATTGCTCCAGGGTCAGGCACAGAGTGGAAAGTGTGGCTAATAATTTAATTGGTATTGACACATAATTGTCAATGGTCAGGCCTAAATTAATGCAAGAAAGGAGGTAAATACTCATCCTAGATGGATCTCAAAGATATAGAATATCGTCTTCTTTTATTTTATATCTTTGCTCTGATTGTATCTATTGATATATTGATTTTAGAAAATCATTCTGTAACAGTTTGCCTCTTACACATACACGTAGATTTTTTTTTTATTTTGCCTAAAGAAAATTCACTGTGGTACTGATATTAAGGAAAGCATATGATTTAGTAAGTGTTTCTGTAATAAAAGACCATAACCAAAAGCAACCTTGCAAGGAAAGGGCTTATTTCATTTTAAAGCTTGTAGTCCAGCTTTCATGGAACTCATGGCAGAAAACTGGACACACAAGTTAAAGCTGAAGTACAGAGGGGGTGCTGAAAACTGACTTGTTGCCCATTGATTATGCAGTCTTTCTTATGCAAGAGGTACAAGGTATGACAATACCTAGTCACCTGTCCCATTCTACCTCAGTCATCAATCAAGAAAATGTACCTTGTGCTTTCCACCAAAGATCTAAGGAACTAGACTTTTCCTGAAGAAAATTTTAATACACACTTGAATATCAATAAAGCTACAAAGGTTTCATTTCTTTGAATTTTCATGAGATCTTACTTTTCATTGTTATATTTAAAAATGATGTTTCTAGTTTTCTATTTGACTCATTCATTTTTTTTCTACCTATCCTGCCTCTGTGCTGATTGTATTTTGTTACACTTTGTTTTAATATTTAAGTTTGAATTAATGGGGAGAGGGTGTTAGCGGTGTACTGTGATTGCACCAAGACTGACGTTATATATAAAACAACTATGAACCAAATGGGTGCAGTGGCAACAGCCTTTAGATTCAGCATTCAGAAGGCAAAGGCAAGCAGGACTTTGTGAGTTAGAACCTATCTTAATCTATATGGTAAATTCCAGGCCAACCCAGATCTATACAGTTTGATTCTCAAAAAATAAATCTACTATGTGACAATTAAAAGAATATTTAAGAATTGTATGATTCATTCATAGAAATCCCACATATGTGGTTTTACTTTCTCAGTGACATTAACCAAATCTGTAAAAAACTAGAGACATAGTCACAATAAAAAGACTTTCCAGTTCAGATAATTATTCTGGGTTTAAAACGTGACAGGTCCAATTTTATTTATGAATAATAGAAAGAATCTGTTTACATATGAAGCATCATAAATGGATTCCTGTGGCTTTATGCTGAGTGACAAATATCAAGACCATAAATATCAAGACACATTCACATAACATTCATAAAAATAATTGTAGAAGGGAAGAATATGTTGCTAATGTGTAGGAACAAAGGTAATGGGACTTGTAAAACAATAAAATCGGGAGTTATTTGTGGTGGTAGACTATATGTGTTTCACTGGAAATGTATTACAAAAACCCCATATGGAAAAAAGAATATATTTGTTTTCCTCCTGGAGATTTTTTCTCATCATATATTGTGTAATGATTCCATTACCGTAATATCACCTGAGTTGGAAAAGTAGTTGAAGGACACAGGAAAATCTGCAGTAGCAATTTTGAAATGTGCTGTTCTATCACATAGTTGCCATTTTTTCAACATTAAGGAGCAGAGGAGGACTGACGTTCAGGTATGAGAAGGGATTTCCTCAGGTTTTTCATGAAAGTTTCAAGACAAGCATTTCCCATCCAGCTTTTTCAACACTCACATCTACCAGTTCTATATTGTCACAAGTCTACTGCCTTTTGTGTTCAAAGTAATTTTCACTGTTGGTATGAGGTAGAAAATTGTAGGATGACTCATTTCAATATTGGAAGAAAATAACTGGATTGATGAGATGACAGATTGACAGGCTTGGCTGTGCAAGTACAAGTTTTGCTCATTTTCTGGCTGCATTCCCTTCTGTGTTGACAGTCAGTTCTGGTGATTGGAAGAATCTCTTTACTGCAATACAATGTGTAGCCTTTAGCAAAGTCTGTGAGAAGGAGATGTGGAGTCAAGATCTAGGTCTCCTTCCCTGGTCAGAAGACTGTGATTGATACTCCACCCACACTCCCCTTGCCCCCAACTCCCAGAAAATGGTTGTGCTGTCCTTTGCTGTTTTATAATTTACTCTGTAAAACAGGCTGGCCTTGAATTCAAAGATCCACCTGCCTTCTACCAACTGAATGGTGTTATTATAGGTATATATCCCCACTGCTTGGCTATAAATTGAAAAACAATAAATCATTTAAGAACTCTGAATGTTAGTTACTTGCTTAAAAATAAAATCTATCTGTACGTATTTTGACAGCTGGATAAAAGTTTGAGTGATCTGGGTCTGAGGAATCTCAATGTAGAAAATGGCTCTATCAGATTGGCCTGTAGACTTGATTAGTAATATGGGTTGGGAGAGACCCCACCCACCCACACAGAATAGTGCCAAGCTAGGGGAAATAGGTCCTGATTAAATTTCAAAAGTAGTGTGAGCAAGCCCTAGGGATCAAGCCAGTAAGCATAATTCATCCAAGATCTCAACTTCAGTTCCTGCCTCAGTTTCCTCTGGTGGACATAAAACCCTTCCTTTCTCATGTTGCTTTTGGTCAGAATTTTATTACACCAATGGAATGAAAGTTAGAATATTATGCTTTGGAGTTGCTTAGTGGTTCACATTACAGAACTCAGTGCAAATAACTCATTTATAAAAACTTTGACTCATGATAGTCTAGAGCAGAGTTATCTGTACCTAGTTTGCAAAACTTAATTGCAAGCAAGGTATTAATAAGAAATCATTGCCTGTCAGTGGTGGTGCACTCGTTTAATCCCAGCACTTGGGAGGCAGAGACAGGTGGATTTCTGAGTTTGAAGCCAGCCTGGTCTACAGAGTGAGTTCTAGAACAGCCAGGGCTACGGCTACACAGAGAAACCCTGTCTTGAAAAACCAAAAAAAAAAAAAAAAAAAAAAAGAAAGAAAGAAATCATGGTTTAAAAATATTTTATAGTCACTTTATCTTATGTGTATGTTTTGCCTTTGTATATGTCTGTGAATGGACATGTACTGGTACTTGAGTAGGAAGTGATTCTCCAGGATGGTGCTGAGAATTGAACCTGGGTTTTAAGCCCATCAGCCCATAACTCATCATTTTAATGTCTCTTTCAAACATCCATGATGATGAGTTTATTAATATTGGAAGGGATCAACAGAAGAGGTGTGTATACATGCCTGAGCTTTAAATCCATAGTTAAACAGAACACACAGTATCAATGTGTTTTATAGATAGAACCTGAAATAGGTCGGGTATATTAACAGCACAGCAGTTCAGAGCATTTGAGGCATCTGTCTCCCAGCACCAAAACAAGGCTTAACTTTGGCTCCTGTGGATCTAGTGCCCTCCGGTGGCAATGACAGGTAACTTCATTCTTGTGCACAAACAAAATTAAGGGACGGGGAGTAATGGAGGAGGGGTTTGTAAGAGTAAGACAGGGAGGAGAGGAGGAAGAGGTCCGGATCGTGATGTGACGTTAATAAAGAAATTAATTAATTGAAATATCAAAGCTAAAGAAGAGGGATTATGTTACGTTAAGGGAGAAATTTACCTTGCATTAAATGTATCAAATTGAAGCTGAATATTAGTATGGGAATAAATCAATTATTTCCATTAAGAAAGGTCAGCTAGGCTAGTAATATTTTTTCTAGTTTCTGAAAAAATAATTTAAAGACTGGACAGATGATTCAGGGATTAAGAGTAGCTACTGATCCTACAGAGGACCCAGGTCCGGTCCAATTCTCCAGCACCCACCTGGCAGCTCATTATCACCTGTAACTACAGTTTCAAGGGATCTGATTCTTGCCGTCTTGACCTCCAAACACATGGCATACACACACACACGTTCTCTCTTAACCAGAAAATGAATATTTTTTTAAAAGAAAAATAATTTAAATATTCACTCATCCTCAGCCTTCCTAATGTTGCGACCCTCATGGTGACCCTCAACAATAAAATTATTTCCTTCCTACTTACAACTGTAGCTTTGCTACTGTTATGTATAATAATGTAAATACCTGACATGCAGGATATCTGATATATAACCCCTTTCATGATCCACTAGTTAGAACTGTTAGCTCAGATTATTAAAATTTAAAATATTAAACAGAACTGACATATTTATTTTCATTTATAGCAATTGCAATAGTGACTAACAGTTCACATGTAAAATGTTAAGTTTTAAAAGTTTGTGTGTATATGTGTAAACTCTGTGTGTGCGTGCATGTACGTGCCTCAGGAGGCCAGGAACACACATCAGATAACCCTAGAGCTGGAGTAACAAGCAGCTTGGAGGCACACAGTGTACTGCTGGGGTTTGAACTCTGGTCTTTTATAGAACAAGAAACACTTTTAACCTCTCAGATATCTTTCCAGCCCCAAGAATGAGTCCTAGGTCTGATCCCTAGAACTTAGAAAAAAGAAAATTTCAGATCATTTTCATGGGTCCAGATTTTAACCCTTTGGGGATTCTAGATATTATCTTCCCATGTTCTACTTTCTGCATCATGATGTTCCTGTTTTTAAGAATCGTGGAATGAACTACACACAGGAAGTTCAGATGGATGTTAGCTGCTCTGAGAATGACACCAACTGAAGATACGTTACAGTTCATGTTGGAAGTGATGTTTGTAAGAGGATCAGTGTCCTTTAAGTTTCAAATTCCCTTTAAGACATTCATTGAGGAAACATTCATGTTTTCAAGCAAGCTTAGTGTTTATTGAATGTGTTTCTAATATAAATATTGCAACGTGATAAGGGGTGGTCTCAAAGGGTAGGGGGTGGGACAATGTGTAAGAACAGCCCCAGAAACAGGACCAGTGTACAACTTGAGACAGGATATTTGGGAGAAACATAACAAAGGATGTGGGTTTGTCACAAGATCAATTCTTGCTGTTCCATACAAGACGAATGCCCCTCTTCTTGCGTTCCTCTTCAACCCAGGGAAAATGCAAAATATTCAGATTGTTATTTTTCTTTTCAACATCTTGCAGTAATGTCTGTGATTCCTCAGGAAATGAAGATTTGTACAGTCTGGGGTGAAAAAAAGAAAATTCTGTTTACTAATTTAAAATACTCACTAATTTGTATGTGTTTGTACAGGTGCATGCTTCTGCAAACATGTGAAGGTCAGAGGACTATCCCTGGTAGTCCATCATCCCTCTTCTATCTTCTACTAAGGGGATTTTGGGTTGTCAGGTATGACAGCAAGTGACTTCACTCACTGGGCCATGTCAACATCCCACGTTTTGTTGTCAATCATTTGCCTCTCTTTACACCTATGACTATCTCTCTGTCATCCATCCCTAGGAATGAATGAATGATCCAAGAGTGGAGAGAAAATGTGATTCTTTCCCAGAGAGTAGAGACCCAAA